TCTCCTACCGTTGGACGTTTTGTTGCCAAAGTACGTTTCTTCTCTGTCACGACCTCGTTGGGCGAATGAGTAGAGGTGGAGGACAAATGCAAACAAAAACTAAATATATATATATCTCTCTCTATATATATATATATAAAAAGAAGAAGAGCACTGAAGAGAACCCACCTGCACTTAATAATGTCACTGCGGATGACTGAAGCACACGTCAACGTTCATACTGTGTTGTTTCATGCAGGTCAAGTAAACGAGAACCACAGAAGAAAAACAAACAACTTCAATGCAAAAGTTGAAATTCCATTTCTTGTCCCAGCTTACCGGAATGTGTAAATCAATTCACGACAATTCAAAAGGCTCGCAACACGGCAACAGATTTTAGAAAGGGTAATGTAAGCGAACCTTAAACGCACTTCGACCCATTAGACCTGACATGAGTTTGATTTATTGCGCTTATCTGTGGTCTTCATGCAAGACAACTCGATAGTACAGCACCATAATGTTCGTAGTTCCCCTGTAGGTTTAACAGCCCAATCATATCATATCAGCAGATTATGGAAATGGGAAAAGTGTTACAATTCATATTTACATTTACAGACCTGCCCCACGTTTGTGCCCCGTTTTCACGCAGGGTGTTCCACGTTAACTGGTTTTTAGGTGGTTAGATTTATTTACAGATTCCACTCTCCGTGCTCCAGATGTTGCATCCGCAGATTCGTCATTTTCACTGAGCGGTCAGCTCTGTCTGTCTGCCAGTGCGTCATTCAGTTTGACAAGATTAAAGACTTGGGCATTAAATAAAAATAAAAAGGTCCCCATCTCCTGCCCAAATGGATCAATATTATCTTCAGACAACAATTACATTTTTTTTAATATAAAAAACAAAAGGCATTATAGTTTTTGCATGTTCCTACCATTATTTTAATCTTATTTTGACTTTTTGTTTCTTTACTTAGTTTTAGTCTTTATTACTTATTATTTTATTTCTAACAAATACCAGAGGCAAGATAAATGAGCATAGATATTACAGTTTAAGCAGAATTTTAGAAAGCAGTTGGCTCACAGGCGTTTATACAAAGCCTCACTTGAAATATCAATAAAACCCTAATCTTGCAGTTTGTGAAAACAAATTTTTCCAAATGAACAAATATCAAAACTGAGGATACGCCATCTTTATTTTAATTTACTTTATTTTAGTTAGTTTCTTAAGTTCTCAAAATGATTTCAGTTATATTTTTTCCGAAGGTCTATTTTTTAATTTTTACTTTAGGTCACTAAAATGTTGTTGTTTTTTCACATCACACATCATAACATTGAAATGTATTCATTTACAGTGCTGTTTGGGGTGTGAGAACAGCCACTTTTAAATGGTTGGTTCCTCCCTAAAAGGCTGTTGGAAATTCATTAAGGGTGTTTCATTTCAAATTTTGATGTATTTTCTTCCATCTGCAGCTCCAACCATTCCAAACTGCTGGAGCTGGCTTTGGTTTGGTAATGTTTGGCTAATTTCTCCAGTTTTTTATTCATTCATCAACTTTCATTCTTCATTTCTGTGTGAATCAATGCTGATTCACGTAAACGACTGGCAAATGTTTACTATGAAGAGTATATGTATACTTTATAAATAAAATAAAATTGAAATTAAATTGAATGAATATATTTGACAATTAGAAAAAAAAATCTGTGGTCTTTCTTCAAAACTGATACAGCTTTTAATGATCCTAAATGTGTCTTTTGTTTGTTGGAAAAAATACTAAATCCCAAAATAAAGTAGTGAGAGCACAAGTATAATTATCTTGCAGGTGCCATTTAATAACCATACAATAACTCATAATAAAGATCAGAGGTATTTGTGGTAACTTTCCTACATTAATCGGCCACTGTCCATAAGTAATTTATCAGTACGTAAAATATGAGCACTGGCAGTGTATGGCCACTAGAGGGGGGTACCATACCATACCACCTTTATTTATAAAGCACTTTAACATAAAACCAGAGTTCACAAAGTGCTGTACATGCTAAAAGCATAAGTAAAGAAAATTAAAATGAGATAAGATAAAATAAATAACTAAAAAACTAAAATAAATTGAAACATGTCAAAACAAATTGAGTCAACCCCTCTAATCAATGCCAAAGGCTTCA